AATAATTAATTAGTATGAGTAATGATAGAGAGAAAGGAAATTTAAAATGAAAATTTTAAATTAATGACATGACATTAATGACATGACATTAATCACATAATTAAATTAATTTATGTATATAATATCACGAATTTTAAAAAAATAAAAAATAAATTATTAAATAATATAATATTTACTTTTTAATATTCTAAATAATATGACTTATGTTATATCATTAATTTTAAATTTTAATATTAAATTTCAATTCTATTTATTATTATTCAATTAATATAAAAATACAATACAATTTAAACTATATTATAGCCTTTCGTCAGGTTATTACCGAAAGATAAAATTCAAATGCAAATACTCAGCTCCAAATTCCGATTCAAGTAAACCGCGTCAATGAATCCCCCCTTTATTTTTATTTTTATAAGGGAAGATGAAAAATTAGGTGATATGGCCTTTTACGGAAAAGCAAACCAAAATGATCAGCCCATTTTGGCAATCGCCAGTTATCCACTCTGGGTTAGTTGGTTTTGCTTTCTTGCGAAGATAAATTATGCCGAAACGGTCCAACCCTTGTTGTTTAAAATGCCCTTGTTGTTTGATGGCATGTTGATGTCATCCCTTCTACAAGAAATGGTGGAGTTGAGTTCTCCAATAAATATCAGGTGGGATTGAATCGGAGAGATTGTTCTGACTCAAGTCGAGAGAGGTAAGGTGGACACAGTTTCCAATTTCCCCTGGAATAACACCGGAGTGTGAATTTCCGCTAAGATCAAGCCTAACTACTCGCCGCAGTTACTCGAAAATTGATTTCCACTAACTAGAAGATATTCAATGGAAGAAATGTTTGAAATTGAAACGGGAAACGGACCGGAGGAAGATTGTTTGAAAGATTCAGCTGGACTAAATTAACAGGTTTCGGTGAACTATTACCGTTTTATCCCAATGCTCCGGTCAGGTAATTGTTCCGCAACTCTACAAAATCCAGCTTTGGCAAGTAAATGAACCCCTCCGGAATGCTTCCGTTCAAGTAATTATCCCCCAGCCGCACCCTGACGAGACTATAACATCTCCCCAAGTCCTCTGGAATGGAGCCGAACAGGAAATTCTTCATCAGGATCAGAATCTTTAACTGATTGGAAGAGCACAAGTTTCGAGGGATTGTTCCGGTGAGCTTGTTGGAAGACAAATCAAGCATCTGAAGCTTCCCATTCTGGCCAAGATTTTCCGGTATAACGCCGGTGAAGTTGTTGTGCCACAGAGATAGTGTTTCCAAATCAGGGAACTCTGAAACATAGTCCGGAATAGACCCGTGTAGCGTGTTCTTGAAGAGACTGAGAAGCCTGAGCTTCTTCAGGTTCACGACATCCGGCGGGATTTCTCCAGTGAGTGCATTTTCCGAGAGGTCAAGGTTCACCAAACTCGTCAAGTTGCCCAACTGCTTCGGAATAGGACCGGAGAGCAGATTCCTAAACAGGTACAGAGTGTCCAGGGACTTCAAATTTCCAAGCTCCGGTGGAATTTGACCGTCCAATTCACAGCTGGCAAGATCCAGGATGACTAAATTCACCAGATTACCAAACTCCGGCGGAATCCCACCTTCGAAAGCATTGGAGTACCCAAGGTAAAGCTCTCTGAGATTAGTAAGATTCCCCAGCTCACCTGGGATTTTCCCTTCAAGATTATTTCCCCCCAGCTGAAGATACTCCAACCCCAGTATCCGACCGTAGCTCGGTGGGATTTCACCGACAAAATAATTCCCGCCAAGAGCCAAATACCGGAGTTTCTTCAATTCCACAACCCCTGCCGGTAAGAACCCAGAGAAGTTGTTGTAATAAACATCCAACACTTCCAGATTCCCCATACACGAGTAGTTCCATTCCACGTTACCGCCGAAGCCATTGTTTGAAATGTTGAGAAATCGGAGCTCGCTCAGGTTCACTATCTCAATGCCACCAGTGAAGTTGTTTCCAGCCAGAGAGAGGTAGGTGAGCCTGTCAAGTTTTGAAATTTCTGGCGAAACAGATCCATCCAGATCCATGTCTGTCAAGTCTAAAGAAACAACCCTTCTCCGGAAACACTGAACTCCGATCCAAGAACAAACCGAGCTCGGATTCGAAACATTCCATGTGCTCAACATTGGTTTCGGGAACTGAAATCCATTTCTGAGGCTAACCAAAGCATGAAAATCAGAAACAAGAGAAGTAGAGGAAGAAGGTGTTATTAGAATTGAGACTAGTGTCAAAACCATAAGAGGGACCATATTTTTCTTAGGAAAATATTTCTCAAGGGGATAGAATTTGGAAGGCCTTGAAGCAAAGACAAGAGGATTTAAGTGTTCCAAAGAACATAGATTTACTGGGAAAGTAAGAGAAAGTGAAGAGAATCTGATGGAAAATTTAAGTTTGTATGTGCTTAAGGATTCAAACATCTCGAGAGAAGGAGGAGTAATATACAAGGAAGAATGGTGCGCCTCTCCTTTTTTTTCTGTTGGGAGTTTTGAGCACCACAATCTTACAATAAAAAAATTAAGATAACAATTTAACGTGATTTGACTTTATCTCTCAACAAGTCTATATTCACAGGAAAAAAAAAAATGAATCCACTATTAAAAAAAATATAATAATTTAGAAACTTTCTCACTCTAAAAACTCTAAACACCCTAACTTCAATATATAGAAACTCCTAAATTCTCCCTAAGACTCTCTCTTAATCTTCATAAGGATTATTTCACAATTTCTCTTTTTCTTTTCTCTCACAAGAACCCAACTCACTTAGATCTTCTCAATTTCTCTTGCTTTTCCCTCACTCTTGCTTACTCTCACTTTTGCTTGCCCATTACCTTTGCATGCATGGGTATTTATAATGAAAAATTCCAACCACTGGAGCAAGTTTTTCTTTGCCTCATTACCACGTACACCGGATTTTCTTTCCTCATTAAATGGGGTCAACACGCAATTTTATATGATTTCAACAAAGCAAATTCTAGGTCATAATTAGCTAGGTTGGTGAATAAATTTTATCACATGGAAAGTCCATGTGAACACATGGACTGGGTTGGATTTTCTACCAACACTTTCCATTCGACCCCAACTTTATTTCATAGAATCAACTAAGTAAATGGGTGGAAGCCCCCCTCTCATATTGCTACAATATTTTTTATTTTTCCACTTTTGTCCTCCAAGTTTTCTCACTCTATTTCACAAGTCATGAGTGGTTTTTCATCATTTGATACTGGGTTTTCACTTTTGCCCTCAAAACTTTGTTTCTCCATTTCACCTTTATGGGGGGCATGTCCATCATTTCGTGACTTCTTCCCGTTGTGTCCTCCTATCTTTGTTGGGGTGGTTTTTAGGTCATTTCAACACAAAAGCAGATTGATTCAATTTGATTTCCATTAACACACAAAATACGTGAAACTGCGAAAGCGAACCAAAATGATCAGAGACCCATTTTGGCAATGGTCGGTTATCCACTCTGGATTAGTGGGTTTTGCTTTCTTGCGAAAATAAATTATGTCCAAACGGTCTAGCCCAATTTTGACCGCGGTTATGGGTTTCGGTAGCCACAAAATACAAAACACAGAAAGCCTAATTTATATCCGATCCAATGGTTGAGATAAACTCATTGAAGTAATCGTAGCCGTCCAGTCAGTACCAAAAGCGCCATAAAATCACCCGCCAAATGAATCTAGGGTTTCATAGTGAGTGAAACAATTGCAGCTCTCTAGCGTTCAATCGTCAGGTATTGTCTATTAATTTTCTCATCGAGTGCTATTATGGTTCGTTAATTCCAATTCCAAATGATAATCTTTTTTTTTTTATTATTTGGATAAATACAAGTGAGTATTCTTAATTTTCAAGGTTAGGAAAGTGTGGATTTTATATTCATAGATGTTTGATTACACTGGAAATATCGTTGATTATGTTTTTTTTTTTTTTTCATTTTGAGATTTGAAGTGATGCTGATTAATATATTTGATGTTATTCATATGAGTCTTCACTTTCTAAAGTAATTAAAGCTTAGTTTGGGCCAAAAACTGAGAAAAGCTTGGAACTTGATTATTATTTTGAAAGCAAATTGTTCTGATCTATTGCCTGTTCCTCTATTTCGCTCTCCCTATTAATGGGTTTGAGGAGTTTGTAGTGTGCTTTTTCTGTTTAAAATGCCCTTGTTGTTTGATGGGTTGTTGATGTCACCCCTTCTACAAGAAATGATGGAGTTGAGTTCCCCATTAAAGACATGGTGAGGAATCAAGGCTGGAGTCTCAAAAATGGCTCTTTTGCCAATGCCCGAGTAATGGGTATTTGGAAAGAAATACCAATGAGCACTAGAATTGGCATGCAAAGTTTATGCGATAGGCCTGTGGTCTGGGGAGCAATTTCCCATCATTTGTTGGGGATGGTGGTGATATCATATGTGTCAGCCTCAATGGTGCTTTCTGTGTTTCTGTCTTTTATTTGAATTTGATTTTAAAATTGATGAACCGTTTTCTGCCCTTTCAATTTCTTTTACAAATAATTTTCCATGATTTTCTAAAGGTTTCTTGCAGGAAATATAATCCAGTGCTTCAGGTCTTAGTTTGTGCTGCTTTCAAGTTTCAATCATCTATCTTTATCGAATGGATATGCCATTCCCTCCCACGTTGTTTTCTATATTATTATTATGTAGTGTCACTATGACCTCTTGACAGACGCCTAAGCCTTAAGCATATTGTCTTAGAGATTGAATTAAAGATTAGGATTGAGGTTTGCGAAATTTTGCAGGTATTTCTGAGTTAAACATGTCTCATCGTAAGTTTGAACATCCAAGACATGGCTCTCTGGGGTTTCTCCCGAGAAAAAGAGCCTCCCGCCACTGAGGAAAAGGTTTTTAGATATTTTATACCCTTGTTACAAACTTACAATTTAAGTTATTGTTTCCTGAATTTTCTTTTATGAGGTCTGTGCTTAAACTTGCTTCACATACTCAAAGATTTCCACAGTTAAATATAGCTGTAAGTAGTAAGTAAACTTCAATTTTTCCTTTGGGCAACTATACTAATTATTATGGCATTCTTATCTGTGTTTCTGACATGTATGGGCTAAATAGTATTGCTATTTTTTTTTTCCCATTGTTTTCTGTTATGCAGTTTCTTCATGCCTTTCTTTTTCTAATGATTCACTTACCAAGTAGTCTACGCTTATATTGCATCCCTAGATAATTGTAGTGAGCTTATTATTTTCTGCCTACCCCTTTTCATTCTGTTAAATGCTTATGCTGCATGGTATGATTCCTTTCCAGATATAATCATAACAGAGTTGAATTTCCTATATAATCTGCTGCCGTATTGCTTAATGAGAAGTTGTTATAGAGGCAGTTACATTGTTATTATTTATGGTGCTTTTTTTCTCCCCTGTTGCCACTATTGTTGTTAATATTTAGAAGTATGCCTTATTTTTGTTTCTCCTCTGTTCATCCTTTCAGTGAAGGCATTTCCCAGAGATGATCCCACTAAGCCATGCAGATTAACTGCTTTTCTTGGATATAAGGCTGGGATGACCCATATCGTTAGAGAAGTTGAGAAACCTGGATCAAGTATGTTTCACATATATCTCTATTATTATCTCGAAGTACAACCTTGTCATTTTTACCGGTCTCTTAAAAAAATAGAAGTTGCAATATTCAGGTTGGTTCTAGTGCTCTATTCATCTCTGACTTGGTGCTGCCTGTGACCAGAAACATTAACTCAAACAATCAGTCATCTGATTAAGTTTTTTCCTTCCATTTACTTGTTACCTCTTCTACGAATAAAGAGTTTTTGATTGTGGATGATGCCTGTTGTTCCGAAGCTCCACAAGAAGGAGACTTGTGAAGCAGTTACTGTTAAAGAAACCCCACCCATGGTAGTTGTTGGAGTCGTTGGATATGTCAAAACACCTCGTGGGCTTCATTCTTTGTGCACTGTTTGGGCTCAGCATTTTAGTGAAGAGGTTAAGAGGAGGTACTACAAAAACTGGTGCAAGTCCAAGAAGCGGGCTTTCACCAAGTATTCAAAGAAGTATGAAACCGAGGATGGTAAAAGGGATATTCAGTTGCAGCTGGAGAAAATGAAAAAGCACTGTACTGTCATTCGTGTTTTGGCCCATACTCACGTATTGAAAAGTGTTATTGTTGTACTTGATCTTAGATGATGTTGATGAGCTAAATTTACTCTAGCAAAAAGTATTAGTGAATTTAAGTAATATAATAAGAAGAATAAAGCATGCTTTATAGAGATTGTAGATTAATTAAGTATTAAAAATAATTATTTTTAATTTAATTTGGATAATTGAAATTAAATTATTTGAATAAAGTAATTAATTAAAACAATTAAAGAAAAACTAAATTGACTTTTGAGTAATACCAAGAGTTAAAATTTTAAATTATTTGATTTCATCATAATCAATCAATATAAAATTTAAATTAATATACTTTTAAAATATTTATTATTCATGTGACAGCAAAATTTTTTATTCTATTTCATATATTTTTTCAAGTTATACCAAATCTATCATTATCTATTAACTCACTATATTTTTATGTGAATTTAAATAGATAAAAATACATTGTATTATGTGAAATTCTTACATAAACTAAGTCCACTTATCACTAATACTACATGAATCACATTGTTTAATTCATGATATATATTACTAGAAATTATTGCATAAAATTTCCTCTCAATCTTAATTATGCTTTTTTAATCAATTTTAATTGTGACCGATCATCAATAAGCATTAAGAATTATAATATATACTCTACATAAAATAATAAACTTTAAAGTATAAAAATCATAAAATTTTATATTAAATTGATCAAGTTACTTCGTAATCTTAGATGATTAAATCAGTTTATAATTAAAAAATAATCAATAATCTCATAATGAATATAGAATATCCAATATGATGATATAAAATCTCAAGTTTTGATGTTTTTTGGTTGTTGAACTCTTATGAATAATCTCTCTTGATCTCCTCCCCAAAAGCCCCAAAACTGATTTTTTGAATAGATATTTATAGAGTTTAAAAAATCCTATTAGAAAAAAAGAAGGACTTAGAACAAAATAAAAAACTTGAAATTTGAAGCTGAACGCATGATGTGGATATCCCGAATGATATGTCGCCACAAAACAATAAACAGAAAGTTTAATTTTGGATGCTTAACTCATGGTGCTGACACTCCGATTGTGTGTCGACACCGCACCCGTGTCGGGTCTCTGGCCTCTTTTTGCGAGTTCTTCAATGGTAAAATTACAGATCTGGTACTCCAACTTTTGTAAAATGAGTGGTTAGATACCAAAACTCAAGATTCATTTATTTAGGTCCCAAAGAGGCGCCCTTCTTCTTGTAATTCAGTCCCTCAACTTTAAAAAATTATTCAATTAATCTCAAAAACTCTTATTATTATGCATTCAAATTCTTTTGTATACAAAAAATGAGAACCATGTAAAACCATGTAAAATCATGTAAAATCTTATAAAATTCATCCAAATATTAATGATATCAAGGTAAAAATTTCACATTAATATATATATATATATATAAATTCAGCTCATCGATGTGTTTTGCATTGCTTTATAGTCATGGTGTGTTAAACCTGAGGGAGTTTTGATGTTTGTGAAATCACAAATTCTATGGCTGCACAGATCAGGAAAATGAGAGGTTTGAAACAAAAGAAGGCTCATCTGATGGAGATTCAAGTCAATGGTGGAGATGTTGCTAAGAAAGTATATTTTGCTTGTAGTTTCTTTGAGAAGAAAATTCCTGTAAATGCTGTTTTCCAGAAAGATGAGATGATTGATATAATTGGTGTGACCAAGGGTAAAGGATATGAGGGTGTGGTCACAAGATGGGGAGTCACGCGCCTTCCTCGTAAGACTCATCGTGGCCTACACAAGGTGGCCTGTATTGGTGCTTGGCATCCAGCTAGAGTTTCTTTCACTGTTGCCAGGGCTGGGCAAAATGGTTATCATCATCGCACTGAGATGAATAAGAAAATCTACAAGCTTGAGAAGGCTGGCAATGAGTCTCATTCTGCCATGATTGATTATAACAGGTTGGTCATTCTTTTTCTTTTGATCCATATCTTGTTTTGCCCTTTTTTCCTTGTATGTGGTTATGTCAATAACCTTCATTGTTGTTTTCCTCCCTTCCTATAGGACCGAGAAAGACATAACGCCAATGGGTGGGTTCCCCCACTATGGAGTGGTGAAACAAGATTATGTACTGATTAAGGGCTGCTGTGTGGGTCCAAAGAAAAGAGTTGTGACCTTAAGGCAGTCTCTCCTGAACCAGACATCTAGAGTTGCCTTGGAGGAGATCAAGCTCAAGTTCATTAATACATCCTCCAAATTTGGCCATGGTAGGTTCCAGAGACAACACAAGAGAAGGCAAAATTTTATGGAAAGCTCAAGGCTTGAGTGACTAAGTGGAAGAGAATCTTTTATTTTATTTTACTCTCTTTTATCCTCATTTCATTGGTTTTAGTTCAGGGATTTCCAAAAGGGATTTGGTTTTGGATCCAGTTCCATTTTGTTGGCATCAAATGATCAAATCATCAATTTTTTTTTTCAATTTTTTGGAACCACAACAAAATTAAATCATCAATTGTTTTTGTGCTTCATATATAAAATAATATTTAGGCAAGAGCTATCAAAGTTTCAAAAAGTAAATTGAAAGTGTGTAAGAAATGTTTTGAGAATGAAATTAAAATTAAAGATAAAAAAACGGTTTAATGGGAAAATTGATTGTGTAAAAAATGCAAGAACGTTTCTTTTTTCGTTTTGTTTGTTCCTTTTCATGGAGAGAGGTATTTTTTTTATTTTTAATAATCATAAAGGTGGACAACTTTTATTCTTTTGCTCGCATTAGATTCCAATTCAGAACATTTTTGTTTGATTATTTGATGGAAGAGAGATTATCATTTATTTGCTAAAGATTTTATTTGGACAAAAGGATAAAATTTTAGTAATATAGTACTAAAATGATAATTAATTCAACGAGAGTGACAAAACAAAATGATTAATAGTAAATAATGATAAATGAG